TATAGATCATAATTTTATACAAATTTTATATTATGTAAATATTATGATGAGCAAGGAGGAGTGTTGAGAGCATTAAATGTAGCTAGCGCTCTCCATAATATTTATTGTAGACTACAATAAATACTATAGCTATAGTATTTGGAATGTAGCGGAGAAGAATTGTTTATCCTCTCCCCTTTATCCTCTTGTATATGAGACACAACCAAATCAATAGATTTTTATGTGTGAAGCTTTCTCTCCTTAGAAACCCTCTTGTGTGTATTACTTACTACTACTCTTGTGTCTTTCTAAACATTCTCAACAAATTCCAATGTAATACGGTAGTGACTGGCAGAGGGCTGGGTAATAGTGGTAGCAGTGCTCAAATGGCCGCAAGCTTTGACAGAGGGAAGCATTTTCAGCAGTACTTTTTTCTTTTTCTTCCGGACGTCGATTTTGAGAGAGTTAAAGTTCTGTTTGTACTGTGTTGTTGGTAAAGCGTGAGAATACTGGGTCCTACATTGACCTCTGTGGACAAGAGTGTGCTCGGGTCCGGGGTCGAAAATGAGTGACGGTATTACGAGAATGTGGGATTAAAAAGGCCTGCAGATTTTGTTTCAATCGTGGGGCGATGATGGGCAAGGGGAGAATTCACTAACGTGTGGCATTTGATCGTAGGCTGCGCCATCCAGGACCTGACTGGGTGCATCAACCCATTTGATGGGATGAACACGCATGTTGCCATCCACCGTGGCCCAGATGCTGCTGTCCCACAAGGTTGCGTATGCTCTCATGGGGTTGGAGTCGGGGTAGGGGATGCTCAAAGCCTCGTTGTTTTGAAACACTCGGATTGGCACGTAATCCACGTAGAATCTAAACATTGTACTCACGGGATCATAACGAGTAACTGCATTAAAATCATACTATTTATTTTCGTTTTTTAATGTAATCGATCTGAAGGAGTACTTGTAAGAGTAAAATGATGATGAATGGGTTAATAACGCACACAATCAAATCTCCGCTCCATTGTAAAGAGTAGTAGTGATAGTCTGTGTTGGGGTCAAACCAAAGTGCCATTCGCTGCTCCCGTCTGCCAGAGTCCTTGACGTTGATGTTTGTTTGGAGAATGTAGGGATTGCGTGGACTGATGCGGCCCAGCAATTCAAAATCTATTTCGTCGAGTTGATCAATGTCTGACGCCGTAGGTGATTGCAACTGAGTTATAATGCAATTTCAACACATGAGTGAAAATACATGCAATCTTTGGTAGAGGAAATTTAGATTAAATAGTTGCATTGCAGAAGATATAAAAATGGCATAGTGTGCTTACGTAGAATGCTGTTACAGTGCAAGCGGAGTTTCCAGGCACTGCTCTAACTCCGATTGAGAAGGTTCCAAACAAGTACGTACCCCATGAACTGCATGTTCCCGCTGTGCCAGTGGTAAAATTTGCTACCCCATGGCAATAGTTACATACATCCGCAGAGACTCCAATTACTAAGAAAAAATCCAACATGACACTCAAATCGCCAATCATAGTCGTGGATCTATTAGCCCATAGAATGCCTCTCCCTGAAGGATCGAGATTGCATCTATACTCCTCACGATCCAGATAAACTCAACTCGCGACTGTCAAATAATGCGGAAACATCAGACAAATTCTCACCTGGTGAATAATCATGGGCTTGTTGGCGAAACCCACCGGGGGTTTAGGCACAAACCCAACAATCTCTCCTGACCCTTCGCGCCCCCCACAAAAGCACCACGTAGGGCACGGATGGTGGTGGGGATCTCGGGATGGATGATGGTGGTGGGGATCTCGGGATGGGTGATGGTGGTGGGGATCTCGGGATGGGTGATGGTGGTGGGGATCTCGGGATGGGTGATGGTGGTGATGGATGGATGACAGAGGTACATTTGCAATTAAAATTTTGTGAGGGGTATATTTGTAATTTGTGAAATTGTCAAGGGTATATTTGAGAGTTTTCCTTGATTTAACCATGTGGTCAATTTGAAGCACATATTGAACACATAATAACCCACAAATTTTCATGCATAGATCCATTACAAATCTTATGAAATATTCTAAAATATAAACTTTTTTTATTTCACAAAAACCAAAGTTATCTTGAAACAACCTTGACTTTGCAAAGCTCTTACAAATTTATTACAAACTCAAATCATTCAGAAAAAGAATGTGGCATAAATAACAAAAGGTGATCATTTTTTTTTTTGCAGCATGTATGAAAGCTCTTGCACCTACCAATAAGAGTTTGGTTGCAAGACAATTTTCTTACATGGATGCCACATGATCAACTTGTACTACAAGTCATCAGTATGTGCAAAACGTGGCCAACTTGTCAACCAAGTTTTTAACCTAATAATCATCTATAATTAGATATAGAGTCAAATATGTGTCTTTAAAGCTTTTAATACACTTCTTCTACAAAAATATAATCAAATTGTTTACTTCTATTTATTATCATCTAATTTATATACTCTAAATAAATATATAAATTTTTAAAAAAATTAAAGATTTATATTTATAAATAAAATTTTAATATAATAATATGATATGTTTCTTTACTAAAGAGACTATAATTTTTGCTAATTATATTTATCATCTACAATTTGATAGTTTTGATTTTAAAAAATTTAAAAACCTTTAAAAGTAGTTATGAAGGCTTTTATAATGATCAAATTATAAGTTGGTCTTTTCACTTTAATAAAGGACATTATTAATAGTTGAAGGGACCTATTAATCATCTACATGCAAAACATAGATCAAAATTTGTTTCTAAGTTTATTTAACGGATCTTAAACTTATTGAATTTATGAAGTAATTTGACCACTTGTTGTATAACTTGTCATTTAAAAAAAAAAATAATGTAGCAAATGACTATCTTATATCAATAAATATAAGTAAATATGAGTATGTAAAAGTATGTTGAAACATGTAAGGAAGATAGTATCTTTTCTAAGAAGCTTTGAAAAAAAATTACATATAAATTAGATATTTAAGCTTTTAATGGTATGTCATAGTTTTTGAAACTTGTCCTATAAGTTTTACACTTTAGAAAGTTGTGTGGAAAGAAACCTACAACTTCACTCTTTGACCACAAGTCTTATGGTCCCTAGAAAGCTTTTATTAAATTTTTTTTATAAATAATATATATAGAAGGAAGAATGAGGCCATCTTTAATATTTTCAACATCTTTCTTGTGTCTTAATCTTGATTCAAGGGTCTTTAGTCTCTGTGTATTTGGCAATAGCCATTTTAGTTTTTTTCTATCTTCTAACTATCTATTCTTTTTTTACTTTCTTGCTTCTTTAATGACACATGTATATATTATTTTTTAGAATTCACATTTCAAATAATTATCTACAAATATGTAATTAAAATTATGGATTATAGTTTTAGATTGATCAAATAAAATTTAGATTGATTTTTTTATAGTTATTTTTTTAATTAAAATTATATATATATTAAAAAAATTTATAACTTATGTAGTTTTTAAAATTTAATTTTTTTAGCTACAAGAGATAATTATATATTTTTAGTATTTATAATATTAAATAATAAGTTATATGTGCACATCAATAGAACTAAAAGACTATGATATTTTTAGCAAAGTTTATTAAAATACATATAAGTTGAATAATACTATTTTTGATATTATATTCAAAGTTTTAGTTTTTTATTGATTATGTATATTATATATGTTGTTAAAAGTTCGTATATATAACTTTGTTTTAGCATGTATGAATTAATTAAAATTTAATTCCATCTAATAATATTACCTTAAAAACCTTAATATACTTAAATATAAGTATATTAATTTTTTTAATTTTTTAATTTTTTTAATCTTTTTGCAATGTTAATAGAGGTTAATTATCTAAAAAGTTATGTGCTTACAAATTTAATAGATATGTATTTTGTATATCTCTAAATCAAAATTACTTAAATTTTAGTATGTATTTACTATAAAAATAATGCTCATCTTAAATATTGGAATAGAATGTTAAAAGCATATTAACAAATAACTTCAATTATATAAGCATATTAATAAAATTGTGTGATTTACTATTAAAATTTAACTAATTAATAAAAAATTAAAATTTTATCTTATAATGCTAATTTAAAGTTTATGATAACATTTAAGTTTTAAATAACTCACATATATTCATATGTATAAAATTCTTTTATTTCCAAAACATAACTTTTAAAATATAAATTTTATAATCCATTAATTTATTTTTTTATTGCACATAATATTTTTGATTCACCAAATCAAAAATGATAATTATATAAAGAATTATAAAATAATTAATATAATTTTTATAAATTAAATTCTTAAAAAATAATACTTTAATATTTTACTGATTACATATTTGCATGTTATGTGGCTTTATCTTAATAAAAATTGCTATTTGTGATATGTGCATAAGTTGTATTTTTTATAAATTACTAAAATAAGATATAATCTATCACATGTATTACAAAATATTACAAAATAAAAATACATTAAATCTATATAAGATTAAATTTGGATAATTTTTCTGCAAGTGGAATTGTTTAAGATTAGTCGTGTCCATATATTAAAATTTCTAAAAAGTATTCAATTGCTAAAATTTCCACAAAAAATAAGTTGATAAAAAATTTAAGATATTTTGTGAAGACTTTATCTTCAATACTATACAATTGAATTATGCAGTAGTTTAAATTCAACATCTCTATTGCACCAATACTAACTTACCAACTTCTTTTCACATAGCCTCACAATACTTCTTCTAATTTATTCCTTTCTTTCAAACTTGAAACAGTACAACTGAAGCACATGCATCAAACTAAGTTGAATCTTTGTTCAATGAACCAAAGCCCCAACCACATTTACACATTAATACATTGAGGCATCTAACAGTACAAACGTAAGCACAGACCAACCATTTCAACATTATAATACTAAATCGTCAATATCAACACAATCAACTATTGGGCAGTATCACAGTGTTCAAGAAGAGACATTAAAAAATAACAGTTACTTGTTAAGTATGAGGAGATTGTTTAGGTATTACAAACTACTGCTTAGTAATGTCTTAAGCTTTCCCCTCATCCCATAACTAGAATAGCTACAAAGATAGCCACCTTGGAGACCCACCCTTCGATCACTCTTCCACAACCACAGCAAATCCATGTTGCAACAGAAAAGCAGGAGGCATTCTGGTGTGATGAGGATGAGCCACAGGCCCTGGTGCAATCAGAGGGTCCATCAGACAGACAGGCACAGTTTGTCTGCAGCAGACGCATTCCACACACGTTTTCAACGAGGCAAGCAGAAAAAAAACGAGGGAAAACAGAGAAAAAAGAGTATAATTGTTTAAGGTTTTCACCTCCACTGTCCTTGAAAAGCAGCACCGTGACAGCATAGAAGCATCATAATCATCGCCGTCGTCGTCGTTGTCACATTTGGTAGCCACCTGCTAGTCTGCTCATCATATCTGCGGCTCCAGAAGCGTTGTCAGATGCGTAAAGTCTGGCTACGGACTACACCATTGTAGACGCAGAAAGAGATAAGATGTGAAACCCAACGTTTTGTGTGCGACCGCGAGAGTCGAATGGCTGAATGGACCTGAAAAAGTGTCAGGCAAATTGTGTGATTGACTCTTCATATTGTGTATCTAAAACAGGGGGAGGATCGTCTTGCATTCCTCAAACTACACCTCTTCTACTACCAAAACTAATCTTCTCTTGCAGTCCACGGATTGAGTCGGTTGCTCTTCATATCAACCTTCTGTACACACATCTAGGTCTCCCCACCTCCGATGTGTGATGCCTAGATCGCTGTCAAGGAAGGAGCCGCAGCCGAAAGCTCGACTGAAACTAAATAACATTTCCCCTGATTTTACAAAAAAAAGATAACTACGCTGCTAATGTTAGTTCTTCCGTCCCAAGAGAGATCGCAAGATTCCTTTGCCCTTGGAGTTTTTCACTTCCGCCGGCGGAGCTGTGGGTGTCAGGAACATCGTCTTCTCGAGACCGTGACTCTGTGAGCCCACATAGGTTTCAAGCATCAGCCTCAGATGCAGATACATAGTAAACTGGAGTACTGTTTGATCCAAAACAAACAGAAAAAAAAAAAGAAAAAAAGAAAAAAAAAAGGGATGACAATTTTCTTTTGAAATGAGGATATGGATGAGACTTAGCAATTCTTTTACCTTGGTGGGACCAGTGCCCATGGGTGGAGGTGTTCGCAACGGAGTCATGGACCCAGATCTTGCCGTTGATGTTCTGATGGGAGCCATGGACCCGGCTCTTGGAGTTGCTGATCTGCTCTGAATTCCACCTGCCATGGGAGCCCCTGCATATCGGTTGGTAGGCGAGACGGACGGCACACGGCTCGGTTGGATAGTTGTTGCTCGCTTGAAGGATGTGTTGTTTGTAGTACTCCCTGCAACACTCGAAGCAATGACCGGTATAAGAGCAAGCTATTACACCCTGATTCAAATGATCTACGATTTTGCATCGGCCAAAATTTCAAATAACGTTATTTGAAATGTTTTGTGGGAGTGTACAATTGAGGGGCACGTACGATTAAGGAAGGAGGCTCTTGAATTCAATAGAGATGGTGAGGTTGTTGCTTGCTTGCCGATACTGCATGTCACAAACCCAATACATGTTCAGGACAAGAAGCACAAGAAATATGACAAAAGATGCAATCTAAATTTCATACATATAACAACATCTTTGTTTCAATGCTGCATATGAAGTTGTAGCAGATTGCAAGGCCTCACAAGGAAAGTCTCACACAGAAGACCTGATGTTTACTGAAGTTAAGCAAGGTTGATACAAACCTGCCGGATCGCGAATATTCTACTTCATTAGAATTGGCTGCAGCAGCAAAATCTGGAGCGAAAAACCATGTCTCAGGTCCTGACATTTCGTTTAAATCTGTTCCATACACAAAGGTGGATAGTTAAAGCTCCATACGAAAGAAGTAAAGTTAAAACATCGTCTTGAAAATTGGGACTATTTGGAGGCAAATCAGTACAAAGGGTAAACCGTAAAAATCACCTCCTGGATCACTCAACTCGCTACGAGGAGTATGCGGCAATGGCAATTGTGCTTGCGCTTCAGTTTCGACAGCTGTATGCATCCGAGTAAGAGGAGTCGGCTGACCAAGGTCAAAAGTTTCGCGCATCAACGTGCGCTGCCCTGCTCTCAAAGGTTCGATTTCATCTGCAGAAAAAAATATGCAATGGTTGGGACAAACCGAAGATTGAAATTGAGCAAACTTTAACTGACAGGAAAGTTTGTCAATGCGAGTCCGAATAATTTGTAAAATGACATACCTGGGAGAGTGTATTGCTTGTGGTTGACGTGCATCGTCTTGGCCATTGACTGCTGCTTCAAACCCTCCCGGTCCGAGTGCTCCTGACATGCTCGCAACCGCTACAACCCATACAAACAAATCAAGATTTTAAGTGCTCGTTGAGTAAAGACCAGAAAAACGAATGCTATGCAATAACATGCTCGGAGCATCCAGAAATGGTTAATGCATCAATGAGGAGTACCTGTGCAATAGCGGATGCTGCCAGTTGAGTATTATCAACTGCTTCATGCTGCATAGAGATGAGATCATTTAGCTTGTACGCAACGGTTCCCAGATGATCCACAGCATTTACTAAGGCCTTCACCGAGTAATCCTTCAGATTATCAAGCACCCTGCCACGTGAACGTGTACATACATTACTATACAATGAATTCAATCCCCTCTCTACCCAAAAAATAAATAAATACGTAAAAAATCAGTAATGTAACAGTGCAGTAGGGGAGCGAAGAGCGATGCCGTTACCCTTGTTTGTTGTCGCCGAAAAGGTACTGATGCTCACAGTAATCGGCTGCTTGGTATAACTGCGGCCTCAAACTTTGAAGCTCCTGCCCAAAAACAATAACCCCAGATATGAGCAAATCAAGAGAGGAAATGCACGACGACAAGACACTCTGCTGCCATAGCCAAGAACAAGACGAAGGCGAGGCTAGGACATGACGATTTGGGTACCTCCAAGGCTAAGAAGAAGGTCCGAGTTTTGTCCAATTCTTGCTCCTCGCGACTCACAGTAGGCGACTCTGTTCGCATCGCCTCGCGAGGAGGACGCTCCTTCTCCATTGTGGAATAATTCTCGCTCGAGTTAAAGGAGGCGGGACAATCAGTAACCCCCCCAAAAAACCACAATGAGCCTTGACGTAGCTAACAATCATTTGCTACACCACAATGTGAGCTCCTCCCCTCTCACTCCGTGCGAGCAATCTATAACCTCCTCAATCTATCCACCATTCTCTATCTAATCGTAAGACCAATCATCAAACCTCCTCTGCTGCTAGATACAGTTCTACTCTATTCCACCCCACAAATCCCCTGGCAATGCTGGTACCGCAAAAGTGCTCCAGTACTTGGTCCTCGCCACCTGCTCCCCTATCTGAGATGTGATTCTTAAACGCCAAAACGAGTGCTTATCCGTCTCAACCTGGACTAAGAAGAATTAATCCGCTTGACCCTGACTCAAGGAAATTAATCAAAGAATCGCCTGTCCAAATTCTCTGACAAATACACTAACGGACCACGAAGACACTCCAATCGCGCGAGCACGTGTGTGCTATGCGCGAAATCTGTCTTGAGTAGATCCGTTGGAGCAAGCTGCATCACACTGGGATCTCACAACCCACACACGACGAGCATTTACTCGCCGGATCCTTCATGTCTTAAATTAACCAAATAAAAACCTCTCGGGAGCACAATCTTCGCCACACTTTCGGAAGGTCTCTAATCTGACAACCAAACCGCGGACCGCACAGCACCAAAATGTATGCGAATCCCAAATCGACAACATCAATCATCCGAACTTCGCTGCTCCTAGCGTGAGTTGTGAGAATAATAGGGACCAGGGCCTGACAATGGCTTAAAATATACGTCTCAATTCCGGCACACGCACAGTGGGAGGGCCTTGCGACGAACACCGCCGTTCACTGACCCCCCTAAGTCACCGTGTGGCTTTGTCTCCCATCGCACTACACCAGCAGCAACCGCCAGAACTTCATCGACCACGACAGGAAATTCGAATCCAATTAGTTGCAAATCTACACAATTTCTAATTACAAATAAACCTAAACTACAGTAAAAATACCCATATGAAACTGAGAAGCTTAACTAATTAAAACACTGAATGAAAGAAAGAAAAATGAATCTGAACACAATCAAAACAAGAAGAAAAGGCTAGCTCACTGCAAATTGATTATGTCCAACGATGATGCAGAAGGAGTACTGTGCAGTTTAGCGCCATTAATGCAGATAAAAGATAGGCACTTTGACCTCAGATCCCCCCCAGTGTTCCCTTCGTTGAGCCGGGGGCTCCTGGTTTCAAGCCTGAGAGGGAGCCAAGTAGAATATTCTGATTGTAGCGCACGCATTGGCTGCCAAATCTGGTCCCCCCCCCCTCCAATCGATGAATCAATCCGTCATGCGAGCTGCGTCGAATTAGACCACCACGAACGAATGATCGATCATCTACTCCATGCACTACGCCTGCTCCATACTAATTCATGGCAAAAGAAGAGTGGACCACAACGTCGAGCACAAGGTCAGGGATTCATTAGGGTACGATCATCATTGAGGTCTGACCACTCAGCTCTCGGTCGGAGTCGAACGCACATGCAGTCCCAGTCTACGCTGCTCCTCGCCAGCCTTCTTCTCCGCTGTCTCCCACACACCAGTCAGTCGTTTCATCACTGTTTTCTGCAACACCGCTGCTGCTGCTGCTGAGTTGCAGAAGTCAAGTGTAGCAGAGAGATGCGAATGACATGATGGAGTGAAAGTAACGCATGTGGTAACCCGTCCTTGGTATAAACCACCAAAGCCTGTCGCTGGTGGCACCATCATGCATGCACCCCAACCCCATCAATCACTTCCCAGAATGGTCAGACACCTCATTTCCATTCGCATCGTTCAAATCCTCCAGTACTTAACCGTAGTGTCCTCTTTAGTGTAGAATCACCCAAGCTCTCTGCCATTACCCATCCCGTTGGGGTCTATGGACATACCAGCCGCTAGAAATACGCATCCAACTGCGACCAAAACTGTCGACTCGCCGTATCGAGTCGACAGCCGGCGGATTGGTTTCACATGTAGCGCACACGATCACGGATCAGCATAGCGTCATACCGCGCACCCATCTAGCCGATCCATGGTTGGGGTCTGATTCTAGTACATCTGCCGCGGCGGGTGCTTCGCCGCCCCTAAATCGGGGGCCGCATCTTCGAGCCCACGTTGGGAGGCATGTGAGTCCGCTGAAAACAAGGACAGCCATCTTCATCCCCTTCTTTTGTATGAACGTTGGTCGACGCTCCGCTCTCATCCAGGTATCCCACAAGGATGCGTTCATTCATCCCTTGATCTTTCCACGTGGTATTGTATGGGGTCCACGATGGGGAGGAGCCCATGCAGTTTTGCTGGAGTTGTAATTTACAACGGTGCCGGAGGCTTTTGTACTTTTGTTTGTTTGTGCGGGTTTGTACACAATTGGTTGCCAAGGTGGAAAAGTAAGCAAGGTCAATTGGGATATTGGAATATTATATTTTTATTAGTTTTAAGTGATTGATTGTGAATTTGTGTGGAGTTGGGTAAAACCAGTATGAACAATCACTAAAGAACAAGTTTGTGTTCATAATATTTTTTTTAGAGAATTGTTAATGCTACATCTCCAATTGATACACTACACCTTATATGACTTCCATGCAACTTAAATTAACTAAAAAATGTACTTCATTGCTCAGGGCACGTTTAGCAGCCCAACATTGACCCAAAAATAGAATAAATTGAAAAATAGATTTTTTTCTGTTTTTGGCAGGCAGAAAAAAGAAAAACAAAAACAAAAACAAAACAAAACAAATCAAATCAAAACAAAATTTTGAATTAAACAATTTTTGAGGGAAATATTCTATTTTTTTAATTTAAAAAATCACAACTTGTTTTTTCATAAAATAACCACTATCTCCCTCTCAACCACCACCTTTTCTTAAAACAAAGAAAGGAAAAAATGTGCACAAGAAAGAGACATATTATTAGCTAGTTGTCTACAAATAGATCATGTAGGATGTAGCAATATTAATCAAGGATTTAGCATTAAATTTTTTCTAATTTTATCTTCATTATTCAAGTAGATGAGTGAGTATTGGTTTGTATTAAAATAATAAAACATCCATGAATCAAATATTCTATAGCTTCATGTAAAATGAATATTTAAAAAATAAATAAAAGTGATCAAATATTATAGCTTCTGAATAGAAATGTGAAATTCCCTTTCTTTGTGCTTTAAACTCTTGTGGACTTATTATAAAGTACAATGAAAAATGTAGCAATTTTAATATAAAAATATGAATATTTTTGTAACATATTATGAAATAGTTGGATTGAGATATCAAATTCAGTTGAATTATACTCATAGTTGATATAATATATATATATATATATATATATATATATATAGTTAGTGTAGGAAATAATAGAATAATAGGTAAATCAATTTATTATAGTATTTTCTATTCTCAAGATTTACCTATTATTCTATCAATTTATTATAGTATTTTCTATTCTCAAGATTTACCTATAATTTATTTATATTCAAAAAATAATATTAAATTTTGATATTGATTAATTTGTCAATGTGTATTTATATTTTTGCATACATGCATATACATATACACATATCACATAACTTTTGCACTTGTTGAGCATTAATATAAAAGACTTTTGAAAAATTATTCAAAATCTTTTTGAAGCCTTTTGTTTTAAAGAAAGATTCTTTATTTTTTTATGAATCATATTTATTTCATTCCTTTTGAAGAAAATTAAATCCATTATAAAAACTTATAGTAGGTTATAATGTTACAAAAATTAATTCCATTTTTAATACAACTTAGTTTTACATATTTATTTTTAAAATATTTTACTAATTTTACAATAAACAAAATCTGATTAAAAAAATTAAAATATGAATTAGAAACATTTAACTTGTTATAAGAAATACATGCATCCATGTAATATAATAATGTGAACTAAACTATATTGTTGTATCTAGTGTTGTTCAACAATTTTACTATTTATTTGTTCAAGAAGAAGTTTTATAAGTAATGATTAAATAATTTACATATCTTTGATATTAAATTATATTTTGAATATACCTTTGTCATTAATATGTATAAAATGCATTGTTAAAAACTTACTAAAGGTTTTATCTTGAGTAATACTTACAAATATTATATATTTAAATATTAAAAATTTCTAATTAGGCACTCTTCTTATTATGTAGACACCTCTTCTTGCCACACTTTCTTGTACATATACAATAAAACTCTTATTTAGACTAAATATTTTTAAGATAAATTTACAATAAAAGATAGTAAATAGAAATAAAAAAAATATTTTTAAGTGAATGATTAAATCACATGAAATGAACTATAATTTTTTTTAAAATTTATTAAAAGAATTTAAAATAGAAGATAAAAAATATAAAAAAACAATAAATATGAATCTATTATTGTAAATTTACTATAAAACTTTTTAGTGAAAATAAGAATTTTATTGTTTGTATATGGAGGTGCATGGCATATAAGATATACACCTAGTAGTTTCATAATTTTATTTTTTGTAAAGAGATTTAAAATATACTATCATAATAGCTTTATTAATCAATCAATTTATTTATAAAAAATAACTACATCTTCATTAGTGATTAAGATATGCTATTACAATATCTTTTTAAATTAAACTAACTAAAAATTAATTATTATTATTATTATATGGTTGAATTAAAACTCACTTTGATCATTTTATTTTACTAAATTGGTTGATTTATATTTTAGGTATATATAAATATATTTATTATATAATTAATTAAATTCATGCATATAAATTTATATCAAAAATATTAATAATATAATAGGAAACTTCTTTAATTATATTGTACTAATTGAGAAAATTAGATATCTTTGTTTATAAATGTGATTATGACTTCAATTATTTAAAGTAGTCATAAGTAATTTAAAAAAAGCATTGTCATTGAAATTAATTCATAAGGTTCATTTTAAATAGACATAAAATTTTAAAAGAATTTTTTATAAAATGAGTCATCAATAGAGTTTTCTATCTTTTAATATTCTTTTCTTTTCTATATTTAAGTATTGGAGGACATTTGTATTTAGGAGATAAGACAAAAGCTTGACAATTTTTAAATCCTTTGATTTGAAGTAATTAAAAAGTTTGGATTTTTTATTCAATCAAAAGATTTTAAAGGTGCAGCCTATCACCTTATTCCTTATGAATAAAGACTTCTTTAATTATTCAATAAAAATGATTAAGACTTATAATCAATAAGATACATTGACTTGTTTAATGAATTTATTCTTTTAAAATATCAATAGAATAAAACAGTAAGACTTGACTTGATTCTAATTAAGTTTAAATGCTTAGATGTATATACTTATAATTATAATTATAATATATATATGTATATATATATATATATATATATATATATATAAAATATTTTCAATCCCATAATATTGTATATATATATATATATATATATATATAGATACAATAATCACTTGAAGACTAGTTAGTAAAAAAATTATATTTAATGGATTATATTAATTGTTATGTGCAATGCTATAAAGTTTATGTGCAATTATTAATTTAATAATTTATAGCAATATTGTGATATCTTAATGGTGAATCTTAATGAAATAATGAACTTACAATCAATCTCCCAAACTTTGATATATAGAGTAATGAACTTATTGTCAATTTTTGAAACTTTGATACACCTTTCAATTCATATAATATTTAATTGAAAGGTGTATAATTAAAATATGAATTAAAATATTTTATTAAAATTTTCATCAGTGTTGTACTAAAAATTAGCATAATATATAAAAATAAGGAAAAATATTATTAGATTTTAGATTGTAATTAAAAATAAAAAAATATATTTTTTAATTTATTTAAATTTATAATTTAATTTTTTAATTAAAAATAGAAGTTATAAGATTTATTAGTAAGGAATTTAGAAAGGCTTTGGTATCAAAAGTATAATATTTTGATTCCTAAGCCATTCCATGTGAGAGGATAAGATGAGTGATAGAGGACTTCATTTTCATTGATTGAAAGACATGTCCAATGGACTTCAAGATATTATTTGAAACTACATTGAAGTTTGGACCACTTTAGAGTGATCTATTTGAGGTAAGGCAGACTATCTAAGGCAAGGCAATCTATTTCAAGTTTGAAGGTTGAATTTAAAATATTATGGGTTAGAATTTGGATTAAAAAAATATAAGATTTAAAGTTTTGATGAAGAAAATATGATTCTTTGAAGTTATGATATGAATTAGATATCTATTATTATTCTTTTAAGCATATAAAGAATTGTAAGAAAGCATTTAGTAATCAAAAATTCAAGTTCAAAAATTGACTTAAAGAATTACATTTCATGTGATTAAATCAATATATTCCAATCTAAAATAAAGGAAAAAAGCTATTGGAAGTTAGTGTTCAAAACTCAAGTTTGTAGGTAAGTTTTTTTTTAATGGAGGTTTTAATTTAGGCCATATCTTGAGTTTTTGGATGAATTTTTTTCCAAAAATTTCTAAAAGTGTAGATGATTAAGATAAAAAGTTGTATATAAAAAATTCATGATATTTGAATATTGGATTTTTGAGATATGATGGAATTAGTATGTAGGTGCCTAAAAATTGACATGTTTAGTACTTTCTAGAAATTAGATAATATCCAAAGACTTATAATTAATTTATGGTTGATTTTTTTGTATAAAAGTAGTTAAGAATATAAATTTACTTGTAGAAAATTTGAAATCCAATTAAAAAATTAGATTGAAAGTTATACAATAATATATATTTGAAAGGAGTTTTTATAAGAATAGAAGTGGTTTTAGAATATCTAGTCACATCTTAGAAACTCTTGTGTATCTTCGACTTATATATTTGATGTAATTATCTTCTTAAAGTAAAGTTATAAATGATATTTGTATTTTTAAAAGTTATAATTTATTTGAGCAATTACTGGCAGCTAGAGACTTAGTACTTTCTTGAGGCAAACTCTTTCTACTACAACACCAATTTCCACTCAAAGCTTAGGAGAGAGCTTAAAAAGAAGTTGTGGATGCATCAATTGATTATCCACAAG